ATGTAACAATAATACACTAGTTATATCAGAAAAAAGGAAAGATGAGAGATGACAATTAATCTTTTTAATATGAAAAAGTGTATGGTGTCCAAAAATTCCTTGAGGGTAAAGCTCTCAAAGAATGCTCTCCGCAGGAGCATTGGCTTCTTCACATGAAGGAAATTTTTTTTAGCAATGTTATAACATTATTTATATATTATTAATATAAATATTTTTTTTAATTTGTATCACCATTAAAGGTCACATGATATAAAATTTTATTGCATTTTTGAGCATAACTTACAATTTCTGAGTTTTGATGATTTTTCCCAAAATTGGCCGCGAGGCGCAGCAAGTTGCGGGACTAGGTGACTTGCACCATATTAAAAAAATAAATTTGAGTCTTTACATACATATATATTATTCTATTTCTTTTAACTTTACACCATTGTTTTTTTTTTTTTACAAATAATTAATAAATTCTAAGTTAATATAATCCAAAAATTTTTTTTTTAAATTTATTTATTTCCACCAAACCGCAACATTATCCAAGTTAGCAGTTTCTCCCCAAGTAGTTGCTGCTTTTTCTATATTATTATTGTTGTTGTTAACACCACTACTACCAGTATTACTACTTCTTGAATATCTCCTTTCAGACCTTTCAGAATTAGATCTTGACGTGTCATCACTACAATTGCGAGCAATATGATTTGGTAAACCACATTTATAGCAAAGTTTGCCATTGTTATTATTATTATTATTAAAATTAAAATTATTGAGTTTAGGTTCTTGAGATTTAGAGTAGTAGTAATCATCTTCATCTTTGTTATCTTTGTTATACACTCCTCTGTTACAAGATTTAGTGGTATGTCCTGTTGAACCACAACTCTGGCATGATAATGATGTAAATGATTCTTGATTGCTTTCCTTTTTTATTTTAGGACAATTGTTTGAACTGTGCCCGCTTTTATTACAAGTAATACACATTTCAATAGAATTTTTATCTTTCAAAAAGCCTGCATCGGCTAACCATGAATTATTTTCTCCGTCACCTTGAGCTATTTGTCCACAATCAATTGGAATACAAGCTGGTGGCCCAATCATTATATGTGCAAAATATTTTTTACCTACATGACCTTGAATATCAACTAAAGTTTTATCAGCAGGAACTTCCCCTCGATCCAAAGCTATTATTCTCACGTTACATTTTGATTCTCTGAATTTACGCTCCATAGATTGAAAGGTTTCATCTGGTGCAGCTTTAGTGTAATCGTCAAATATTTTCTTAATCATATCTAAATCTTTATCTGTATCAGCTTTAATTAAATTCTTCCATAATATTTCTGTGTTGGGTTTTTCCTGACATTCCAAACTTTGATGATCTGACATGTTACATTTATAACTTTTTATATAAATAATAAAAATAAATTTATATGTATTGTTAAATAAAAAAAATTCATTTTTAGAAAAAATTTTTGAATTGATATAAAATACCATACCAAATCATTAATTTGTCATTAGTATCTTGTTTTGTCACGCCATTGAACTCATCATTAATCACTTTTTTAAAAAGCAAAAAATGAAGTCATTAAAACATTTTCTATTATAATTATAAATAAAAAGATGTATTATTATATATTTTTTCAAACCTTTGCTCCGGTCATGATAAATTGGATTAAAATCGATTCTTCCTTTTTTCAGAGCACTATTTGTATTTTCCTTTTGTCCAATTGACCCTGTCCAATCCACTTGATTTGAATCATTTTCATTCCAATAACCTTGATTGCTGACAGTCTCTGCCGGATAATTGCTTTCTTTTTGTGGTTCAACAGTAAAAGATGAATTTATTGATGGAGTTACATAATTATCATTTATTGGACTTTTTATAACCAGTTGTTGAGGAACATTGTTATTCGATATTAAATCTTTCAACGGTTTATCATGACTTGAATTGACGGAGACAGGTGTATGATTATTTATAGTATTTATAATAGGAGGTCTTTTAGCCAAACCAAAAATTTCATCATCATTATATTTATTGGTTTGTTGTGATTTAGGCGTAAATTCATGGACATTGGTATTATCATCAAAACTAATCAAAGAATCTTGAGGTGTATTTACATCTTGTGTTAAAGTAATTGTTTCTACTATATTATTATTGTTATTATTATCATAATCATTACCATTATCAGGTTTGGTTATATTTGAAATTTTATTGTCTGGTGTAAAAGCAACATCACGAGTATAAGACGACTTTTCCAAATCAGTTTTAGAAAAACTTTGTGAATTTGAATTTTGTTTATTTTGCTTTCTATTAATAAAATAATCGACTAGTTGCTTCAATTCAGGTGGTGGTGGTGGTATGGCTTTATTATCTGGAAAAATGATTGTAAGTGAATATTTTTGTTGCAAAAGTGTAAGAATTGCTAAATCCACGGGATCAAGTTCATCTTGAATATCAACAGTATGAAATACTTTTTTTGTTGGGTTTTGTCCTATTGGTAAAGAATCTAGACGATAGTTTATTTAATGGTAAAAAAAAATTGGTTTTAAAGAATTTTGAATTGCCGAATAAATAAATATATATATATACCTGTAATATATTTAGCAGACACGTTGTTGACATACTTGGAATCAATTGTGTTGTTGCTTTGCATTTGTTTGTAACTTGGATCAGTGTTTATCTAAATAGATTTATATATACTTTATATAATTATTAATTTACTCAAAATCAAAAAAAAAATCAAATAATATTTCTAATATACAGACACTTCATGATTGCCATTTACTTTTTGAATGTATGAGCCTTTTTTTTTTTTTTAGATAATCGCTATACTTACTTCAATTATATTTTTTTCTCCCGGCCCTTGATTAATTGAAGGCTGTGAAGGTTGTGGAAGTGAAGAATGTTGTTGTTGTTGTCGTTGTTGTCGTTGTTGTTGTTGTTGTTGTTGTTGTAAAGGTGTTAACGAATGTTGTGTTTGTTGTGGTTGAGATTGGGTGGGTGCATTATTCCAGGAAAATTGTTGTTGTTGAACAGGAGGAGGAGATCCCCAATTATCAGTCATCTTATTAAAGAAAAGTTTGGCAATATAAGTAACTTTCAAAAGAACTCTTTAAATAATTAAAATTTTTAAAAAGTTAGAAAGTATAAGCAGACTATTTAAAAAAAAATTAACCACTTACTTTTATTTATTTATTATCTATTTTAGCAAATGAAAGGTCAAATATTTTATTTTTAAAAATATCGATCAATTCGCTTTTGTTTTTTTTTTTTTTTTTTTTCGGAAAAACTCTGTTTCGTGTGATTTAATACTAATACTAATTGTAAAAGATCTACAAAGTAGGAAACCAACTTAAATAATTTTAATAATTGCATTGTTAAAAATCAATAATATCAAAAATGTCTAATCAACAATCTCCACAAAATCAAGCTTCGTTATATGTTTCAGAAAATATAGTTCATAATATGAAAACCATAACTTTTATTCGCTCGTCAATGTCAGCAATTACAGGATCAGCGGTTGGAATACTTGGCTTGACTAGTTATAGTGGTTTTATATTTTATGCAATAGCATCTTTGTTTTCATCTTTTCTAATATGGTCTATGAAAACAAAGGGAAAACCCAATTTATATTTTCGTAACGGAGCTGATGTTTGGACCGAAGGAATATCCGGAGGCTTGTTTTCATATGTATTGTTTTGGACTTTACTTTATGGAATTGTTCATGGTAACAAATATTTTTTTTAAAAAAAAAGTTTGCATGTTTAATTAATTAGTCAATTTATCTAATAAATATTTTTTTATTTTTTTATTTGTAGTTTATGATTGATTAGATGAAAGGAAAAAAAAAAAAAAACAGAAAAAGAAAAAGATAATAGAACAATATAGTAATAATTTTGTTTATAAATAAAACAATAAAAACAAAAAAAAAACTTAATTGTCTTTTTCATTCTTCCACCAAGATTCGGTGGTTAATTTTACTTCAGGCTCAATTTCAATTGTAGATTTATTTTGATTTGAGTCGTTGTCATTATTATTTTGTTTATTTATTGTTGTTATTTTTGCTTGATTTTGATCGAGAATGCTTTGGTGGTCAGTCCTGTTATTTACTTTTTTGTGCTTTTGATATCTATTATTCAAATTGGGGTTTCTTGAATTCCTTGTGTTATTATGATTTTGATTTCCTTTCTTGTAACTTTTGTTATTTGCTGTAGCAAAATTTTTTGGCTTGTTGGAATAATGATTTGATTGAATAGATTGATTTTGGCTTTGATCAAATGTTGATGTGGATTGATTCATTGATGTTAAAGAATTAGGGTCAGTGTGAGAATATTGATTAGTTTGGTTTTGATCATGGGTTGACATGGATAGATGATTAGGATCAGTGTGAGAATATTGATTTTGATTTTGGGTTGGTGTAAATTGATTCATAAGGTTATAATTATTATGAGGATATTGGATTGGTTGAATAATTGATTGATTTTGATCATGAATTGATGTAGGTTGATTCATTGATACTGAAGGATTAGTTTGCATTGATTGATTTTGATCAAGGGTTGGCGTATATTGGTTCATTGGCATTAAAGGATTAGGATCAGTGTGAGGATATTGGATTGATTGATTGTGAACAAGGGTTGACGTCAAAGGAGCATAAATATTATGAGGATACTGATTAATTTGAAGTGATTGATTCTGATGATCAAGGGTTGATGTAGAGTGACTCATTGATGTCAAAGGATTAGGATTGTATTGATTAGTTTGAATTGAATGAGTTTGATCAAAAGTTGACATGCATTGATTCGTTGATGTTAAAGAGTTGGAATCATAATGCACTTGTGCTTGTAATTCTGATTGCACTGATTGTATTTGCGGAATATATTGAGTTTGTGGTTCATCTTGATTTTGAGAGAATTGTGGTTGAACTGTTGATTGATTTTGAATAAATGGTTGTGGATTTGGATTTTCAGTAGATTGTAGGTTCATTTGATATGATAGTTTTGGTTGTTGTTGTTGATATTGTGTTGATGAAGGATTTATGCCAATATTGGCATTATTGTTAAAACCATTATGATTATTATTATAATAATAACAATCATTATTTGTTGCTTGCATGTGAGGAATTTCAGATGTTCCTCTTCCACGAATTTCATAATTTGTAATTGTGGCAGCAGAATAGTTATCATCCATGTTTGATGCTCTTGGTAAGTCAAGAGATGAATTTACGTAATTTTGTAATTGATTTTTTTCTGCCATCAAATTTTTATTTTCTTTTTCAATTTCAAGGACTTGTGATTTCAAATTGGATATTTCATAATTAGCTTGTTCAAGCTCTGCCATCATATTTTGATAATATTGCTTCAGCTCTTCTGATTTGGAAACATTCTCTTGCTTAAGAACTTTGTTTTCTTGAAGCATTTTGTCAAAATCTAACTTTTGCATATCATATTCAGTTTGTACAGTTTCTAGCTCAGTGATCCGTTTTTGAATACTACGCAATTCATTTATTTGATTATCTGAATCTCTTAAACGTTTACGGAGCACACTAAGCTCGGCTACTTGATTCTCCAAGTCTTTATTTCGTTCAAGTAAATCAACAGCATGAGATTCTGATTCACTCATGTGTTGGCAGACTCTCTCAAGTTCTGCAACATGCTTTTCCAAACTTTTAATATGAGGTCTTAACTTTGAAAGTTCAGCAGTTTGTTCTTCGAGGCTTTGATTCTTTCTATGGATTTCTGAAGATTCTTTTGTTTCAGTCTTGAGACGACTGTTTTCTGCTCGAAGAACACTGAGTTCTTTATTGATTAACTCATTTTCTGCATTTCTGCTTGATTGAGCTTCAGACAACCTTTTCTCAAGGTCTTGAATCCTCCTACGTAATTGAATATTGTCCAACTCCTGATTTTTACTTTTTGACTGAGCTGATTCTTGAATTTTTAATCCTTCATTTGAATTTTTCGACTCACGACTCTTTGCAGTAAGATCTTTCAACTGCTTTTCAAGCTCTCCTTGACGATCTTTTATTATTTGATCAATTGATGCACCAGCTTTCAATTGTTCTTGATATGCTTTGAGCTCTTTCAATGATCGTTCAGTTGCATAAAGCTCTGATTTTAAAGAATTTTCTTTGTTCTCCCATGAATTATCATTTTCAGCAAGCTTATGTTGATTTTCATGCTCAAGTTCAGAGATTTTTGTTCTTGCGCTTGCCAAATCAGCATCAATCTTACAAATTTTAATTTCCAGATTTCTTTCTGATTGTTTCAGTTTATCATTTTCTTGGATAAATGATTGATTTTGTTTTTCAAGCGATTTCAATTGACTATGTGCAAGATTAATTTTGTTTTCTTGCTGTAATGAACCATTTTTTAGTGCAGTTATCTCAGATCGAAGTTGACTTTCTTTTAATTTAAAGCTATGTGTTTCATCAGAATGCTTTTTTGTTTCAGTGTTCAATTGAGCATTTGTTTGTTTAAGTTCTGACTCTAACTTTTCTATGTGTCTTTGAAAAGTTTGTGATTGTGTCATAATCTCATGGATGTTATGGTCATTATTCCGTAATTCTTGAAGTAGTGATAAAATATCATCAAGTTTGTCAAATTCTTTATTATTGTTTGGGTTATCAATAATTTTTTGCCTTGCTTCACCATGAATTGGTCCAAAGCCAGCATTTGTCTAAGAAATGAAAAATAGGAATTGTGATTAATAATTAATAATTAATAATTAATGAGTAAAATAACAAACAGCAAATTAATTTTTATGTGAAATTATAAGAATCACCTTTTCTTTGCTCATATTCTTGATATCTGATTTCATGATTTTTTTTGAACTATTTGAAAATCCATTCAGGCTATAAGGAATAATATCAGAATCATTTTTATGATTGTTATCGCTTTCTTTTTTTTCTAGGATTCCATTACCAATCTCTATATTCTCATAATTTTGACTTGATGATGATGATGATGGTGGTGGTGGTGGTGGCAATGATAAAAAATTAACAGTGCGTGGAAGTCCTGAAATATCTCCAAGCATTCTTTCAAGGGAATCAATGACTACTTGAGGAATAGTTGCGTACCCCTTTTATATAATTTTAGTATTTGTATAGTAATAAACAAATTACAAATTAGCATATTATTATTATTATTGCTAATCATGAAAAATATTTATCACCAAAAATTCCCCAATATCAAAAAAAAATAAATATATATATATATATATTCAATAAATACATCTCTACACTCATTGAAAAAATGTTTTAGGACGTTATCATCTTCATGTCTGTTCTTCAAAAATGGATAATTTACAATGATGGCTTTATCATCATTCAAAAATGAGTCTGTTTTAAATATATCTAATTTTGTAATCATATCTGGCTTATTATTATTTCTAGCCTAAAAAATATCAAAAAATATAAAATTTGGTATCTTTAAAGGTTTTATCTTATTACATGATAAAAAGCAATTATATATATATATATTCCACCTCTTCATCTTCATGTTTTTGTGCAAGTGCTTCCTTTTCCCTCCTGGTTGCTTCATCAAGCAATCTATAAGGATATCTTGGTAAATTCACATTAAGTTTTCTAGGTGTGTTATTAGCAGTAATAAATGTGGAAGCCATTTTAATTGAAAATTTTAGAAATGCTATTTACTGTTATAAAATCATCCAAGTTACACATACTTGGGTGGCTTGAGAATTAAAATGGGACGATTGTTGGTTTAAATCACATGTAAAATTAAAACACAGGTAAGAAAATATGCATTGTCTATTGAGATTTTAAAAATTGTCAAACTTAAATTCTTCCAATTAAAAGATACTTGTATCACTGACCTATTTATAATCTCGCGTGAGTTACAAAAATAACTAGCAAATATTTGTAGAAACACTACCAATACTAAAGAATCAAAGAAATTGGAATTTGCAATCAATGAGATGGTCAAGCTAAAAGATAAATTTCATTATATTATTCTCATAATTTAGTATGTTAGTTGCATATGCCAGTAATCAGATGTCATTTCTTATTTTATTAATTTTCAAGTTTTTTTGATGCCGCCTTTTCTCTTGATAATTTCAACTCATTCCTATATGACACTAAATCAATAAACTCAAATTTACGTGATCTTGGCTCAGTCGGTAATCTAGGTAATTTATCATTACGATCAAAAACTATCCCTACTAATCTTTTTTTTGGTTTTTTGGGATCCCTATAAAATCGTACAAATCCTGATTGTATCGCATATAATGTATCATCTTTTCCACATTTTACCTTTATAACAAATATGAAAACAATTATTATTTATAATCATTCCACCAACAAATCAATCAATCAATCAATCAATCAACATTACATTTTCTCCTGGATGAAATCGAGTTCCTCTCTGTCTTACAATTATGTTTCCAATTTCAACATATTCATCTATTTATATAATTTCATCAAGTATCTTTAATAAACAAATATATTATATATATATATATATATATAATATATAATAGAAACTTACCACCAAATTTCTTTACTCCTAATCTTCTCCCAGCAGAATCACGTCCATTATGTGTTGAACCACCTGCCTTTTTTGTTGCCCATCTTTTTTGTATAAAACTATTACTAAGTTCCCCTACAACAATTTAATTGTCAATTAAACAATTTTAAATTTATTATTGCTTTTGTCAATTTTTTATTAATCGGGATACTTAACCTCTTTGAAAATTTTTATTACTGAAAGTTTGAAATTTTAAAATTTCAAGAGGTAATGTAGTAGTTGTTAATGTAAATTTGGGTCGAATGAAATTTTTTGCAAATGACATTTATTATAAAAAAAAAATTTTTTAATTAATTATTTTAATTGGTATTGGAAACCCAATCCTAGAATTTAAAATTCGTCATGTGACCAGTGTTGGCAGCCAATAATTTGTTGTGCAGAAAAATCCGTGCAACAAAGTATATTTATATTTATAATAAATTGCTGATGTCTTCAGGTATACATACTTTGCTTTTTTATCAATGATAAATCATTGATGATTTCAGTTATAATCTATTTTTTTGAATGCAAAAATACTTTTATTTATTATTGATTTTTTACCATGTCTCTAGATTTTATTTATGATGATATGCCAACAATGTTAATCCAATTTCTTCTGATTTATTTATACTAAATCATAATAACAATTTCCATGAATGTATTTATGCTTTACTCTCAAAACTATTAAACAATTTCTTATATATACTAAGAAATACTAAGCAATATCTTCTTTCAATTACCCAAATTCAACAATTATTATTAAAATAACACTCCTTATACTTCTAATGCACATGTAGAAAGAATATTTTCAGAAATGAAGTTGATAAAAAACAAATTGAGAGACAAAATGAATATTAATACATTGAATATAGTGGCAATCATCTAAAGACATCATCAAATGTTGCTAATCTTTAAGTACTGATACTTTATTAAATATGGCCTATTTTACCAAAAACTCTCTATTTTTGCAATATTCTAGACATGAAAAATAATGTAATAGAAAGTTTTTTTTGAGTTATTTAATTAAAAAAAAAGTTATAATGGTTTAAAGTTGGGTAACTTTGCTATTTTATTTGAAATTTCGGCAACTATATATCTAAACTGCAATTTACAGATTATTTTCACAATTTTACCAATTATTCACGTGACAAAGTCACAGATCTTTTACAAATTTGGATTTATTTTTATATATTGGATTCTTTATAAGGCAAGATCAGCATAAAAATTTTCGGCAAGTGGCGCAGCACGTGATGTCTTTAGATGATTCGCACCATAATCATTTAATGATTTTATTAAATGGACCAGATATTCATAATTTTGATTTTAAAATAGCATATGAACTATACATGCAGCCTAAATTGGTTTGGTGATTTCAATGGTCAAAATTATTCCAATTTTGATGGTAGAAAGTAGAAATTAATTACAGTACTCACTATTAAAAACATAAGTGTAACACCCCTTTACTACATGTGCAACCCCCTTTATGACAGTGTCAAAATACTTTGAGCTACATGTATAATAGGAATATTGGACAAATAAAAATGAAAAAAACACTTGTTAAAAAAAATATTTATTGTTTTTATTTTTATATAGTTGGCTCAGTCTAAAGACCTCCTAAATTTTGGGCAAATTTTAAAAGTATAGAAGTCACTTTCTGTCCTACTTTTTAAAAAAATAGCTCTATTAGTTGATAGAATATGACTTTAGTTTTAATGTAATAGAGAGATTTTCCCAAAAAAATTATTTATTGTAAAGTTCTATTCTTTTTTTAAACATGTACTTTACTATGCTTGCGAGGAATTTGTCCACTATGATCATCTCTAAATTTAGGAAAAATATTATCATATTTTGACTAGCTCTTGACTATCGCATCTAAATTTGGCAGTAAGAAAACTAAAATCATGTGAAGTCATATTTTTTGAAAAATTTTATTACATTTTTGAACAAATTACAAAATTGCTATTTTGAAATTTGGCCGCATGGCACAGCAATAGGAGATCTTTAGACCGAGCCAACCATAGTCACAAATGTGCACATTTCTTAGGTAACACAAACCCCGCACTCAATTTCCAACACTGAATAAATTGGGCTGTTCTTCACATAGGGCTGTCCATTGCTTGATGATAACTTGCAATTGCTTGCTTCTGACAGTTTCTCTCTATTGCAGGTGCCCTTTGTGTCAAACAAGCCCTCATAGATACTGCACAATGAAGTCAGCCAACCATCACTTGATGATTACTCACAATTGCTTGCTTCCAACAGTTGCTCTCTGTCACAGGCACTCCTTCTTGCTTATTAGGCTCTATGTTCTCTGTCTCTCTGTCATGGTCATTAACTAAGAGAAATTCAACCCACCTGACTGATATGCTGTTAAGATGATTAAGACATAAATTATTTATTAAAAAAAAAAAAGTTTAAAATCAAGATGAAAAGAAATACAGATTGTCACACATACAAATAAACATTCATAATTTATATAGTTGCATTACATATAGACAGTATTCCAAAATTCTTTTAGTTGCAGGACATTGCATAACTACAGGAGGTCAAATGTAATCCAGTCAGGGAATATACCAAATTTGGAAATCAATTCCAGAACAATTTATGCTTCTTTGTTGATCAATTCATATATGTTGCATAAAATTTAGCTAATCAAATTTCTTCCAAAATTTCTTCCAGAAATTCCAGAATGCTTATCATTTATAAATTAGGAAATACCAAATTTAGTATATTCCCTGATCAGTATATAAATTTCGGTGTGTAACTAGTACAAATTTAGAAGCAATTTTACAAATTTAGAAACTATCTGCAGGAAATTACTAATGTATGACGTTACACTCGGGAATTGCGGGTATTGAATTTTATACACTGTCCCTGACTGTAATCAATCAATAATAACTATAGTTGGCTTGGTCTAAAGACCTCCTAAATTTTGGGCAAATTTTAAAAGTATAGAAGTCATTTTCTGTCCTACCTTTTAAAAAAATAGCCTCATTAGTTGGTAAAATAGGTTTCTACTTTTAATGTAATGAAGAGATTTTCTCCAAAAAATTATTTATTGTAGAGTTCTATTCTTTTTTAAAACATGTACTTTACTATGGTTGGCTCGGTCTAAAGACCTCTTATTGCTGCGCCACGCGCTCAAATTTCAAAAATTGCAATTTCGTGATTCGTTCAAAAATGCAAAAAAGTGTTACACGTGATTTTGGTTAAAAAACTATTTTACTTACTGCCAAATTTAGATATGTTGGTCGAGTATTAGGCTAAATTTAGGAATGATATTCCAAAACTAGTCTAAATTTAGCAATGATCCTAGTGCTCAAATTTCTCATGAGCATATATATTTGTACGTTTTTGTAATAATTTATTAGACCACTTGATCAATGCATCATTTTGATGAAAAATTACATCATTGCGCATTTACAAACCAGGATACTTTGCATCCACTATGGCATAACTCTCACAATAGGCACTTTGTGCTTCAGCTTTGGGTGGGAAAACATTCATGAACCAGTCAAAAGCCAGAAACCACAACTAAGGCTCTGCATGAGCCAGCTTGTGAGGAGCTTTAACCACAACATTGTACATGACTTTGAAAGAAATATTTTATGAACAATGTAATTTTTTTCAATGCCACAATTCTATCTTCACTATCTCTTTCACCATTATATCACCATCTATCCAAGTAGCTTTATATATATATATGCAAAGCCACATTTACCTATCTATTTGATATTTGTTAAATCATTATAGGAATCCATTGAAGACAATAATAATTACCATATCCAGTTATGTACTTTAGTCAACTCATCTAGTGTTTCATTACCACTAATCCCTCAGTTAATAGTTGTGGAGCACATGATTGAACCCAATATTATATCTATTGAAAGTTGAACATTCTCCATATTTTCTTTTTCTTTTATCTGAATATTCATCATCATCATTTTTTTCAATAGAAATATTATCTTGATGTTTATTTTCATTTAAAGTTTATTGGTATTAGAACAAATTTATTAAAAATTATATAGTAAGTTTAATTATCAGTAATATGCAGTTTTTCTTTAAGAAAAAAAATGTATGTACAACAACAAAAAATTTATTTTGCTTGTAATTTATTTTTTTTTTTGTTTTATATAAAAATGATGTTCCATGTTTCATATTTTTGTAAAAATTTTATTTTGTCAATTTGAGTTAATATCATTATGGATAATGTGAGGTATAGAATTTAATGATTGTTGTTGTTTCTGTAGTAGAGGTAGATGTGATAAAGACAATAATAATTGTGATCTTTGTGATGTTCTCAATGGTGCAAAAAAAGCTCGAGTTACCAAAACTATAATAATGAGTGTCACTATAACTATCTAATTTAATATAAAACTCTTTTTAATATCAAAATAAAATCTATAATTTATAATGTGTGTAATATTAAAAATTTACCATTGATTTATATGATAATTTTTCCATCAAACTATTAATTATTTCACCAAATGTTTCAGCAGATGCTGTTACTCTTTATCAATAAAAAAAAAATAATAATGTTATTATAAATAATCAAATCAAGAAATTACACACCCCCACCTATCTATTTATTTAAGTCTTTTTACCTTGCTAATGTGTGTGGATCACGGTTCATGCATGTAAAAATTATTAAGATTAATATAGTCAAGGACAATATTTATATAGTGTACAGATGCAAATACATATAAATTAAAGGATATCTTTCCCATTGTGAACAAGCTTGCTCCAGTGCTGGAACTCTTTCATTAGGCATACATTTGTTTTGAAGATAACTTTTTGAACATTTTGTCATTGCCTGAATCATTTCTAATCAAATATATATTAATTATGTATAAATTATTTATATATATAAATATATTAATCATCTAAATATTTTATATGTAGTACCTTGTGAATATTCAGTGACTTTAATATCTACAGCATCTTGTATAGCTGTTGAAAATTGATAAATGTTACTTATCAAGATCACAAAAAATATTTTAGGTAATAATTCAATAATCCTACAAAAAAAATCAAATTTTAAAAAAAATTTTTTAAATAGATGATACTTGAATAAGTAAAAAATTTTATTATACCTATTTATTTTATTAATAAAAACATTTTCTTTATTACTAGTATCTCTATTGTTAGTATTACTATAGTTTTTATTATTATTTGTGCGATTTGATTGATTTATTACATTTCTCGTGTTTTCAGAATGATTATTATTGATTGTGTTAAGATTTTCTTTGTCATTGATTTCTACTTTTTGTTGACTATTTCTACGAAGTGGTGTAAAACTAGCCTTTAGTCTTTTTACACATTGTTTATGTAAAAAGGAATAAGAAAATCTACTACTGGTAGTGGGTGATGATGATGGATCAGATTTTTTAAAAGGACTGGAAGGTGGTGATGTTGTTGACGATGATGAAAGTGGCAATGATGAACTGAGCTTCATTTTTTTCTGAGATGCGTTGATTGGCTTTGGAGAAATAAATAGCATTGACGGACCAAATCTAAAGGTAAACCGAACTTTATTATATTTGTTCTCGTTGATAGCAAATGAATTAAAATCATAAAAATCTAAGTTAATCAATCAAAAACGACATAATCAGTCTTATTCGTTTGAAAATGATATAATTTGCCTACATTGCTATCAATTGTTTCTTCAACATTTGATTTTCTTTTCTTATTTCCAATAGACTTTTCTCTACATTCCATTTTGCTATTATAAAAAAATTTTATTTTAGCAATAATTCAGACGCAAAAATTTAGTTATTGCATTCAGGGATATACCAAATTTGGAATTTCCAAATACTCTAATGATCGACGATTCTCAACGAACTTCGTTTCGCTTCAGGGCTCTTTTTTTAATTAATTAATTAAATATTTTCTTTCCCAACGAATTTCATATTTAAACCGCGTTAAAATGGACAACGAATTTATTGATAGGATTTTAATGGTAGGTATTAGTCGCGTTACAACGAATTCATGTGATATTAATATAAACCATTTCCAAAACAACAATAATAAAATTGATTAATTAAAGAATATTTTATCCAAATTTTCAAATAATAATAAAAAGGTGAAAGCCAAAATGACAACAATAAAATTAAAGATGAAAGCGAACAATAATAATAAAATTGTTTAAAAAGATGACATTATCAAATTACAAAAAATCTGTATAAATAAAGATGAAATTTTCTTTTATCAAATTCTTTATAATCCTACACAAAAACTTTCTTACAATTAAAGCCTTTGAAAATGTCTCAAAAACAATCATCATCACCATCTATTAAAAAACGTGTATATATCACTGCTGAACAACAACGCAAATTATGTTTATTAAAAACAAACTAAAACCCAACCAAAAAATATTGAATTAGCACAAAATATGGAGTTAGTGAGGTCAAGTTAGTGAAAAAATTGTATTACTCAATTATTATTATGTTTATTAAATAAAATTATAAATAAAAATATTATGAATTGACCACATGATTATTATTTGCAAATTACCTATAACAGTCTTTTTTTGCCAAAACAGAAGGACTATTATCAGTGTTGACAACTTGACAACTTGACTAAGTCAGTTTTTATATTCATTGGGCTGACTGGGCCGGACCACTGGTCTAAGTCCAGTTTTGGTCCAATGTGCTGCGGAGAGTCCAATTTTTGTTGGCCATTGGACTTTTCCAATAATTAACTGGACTGGATTGGATTATTCTAGTCCAGTCCAGTCCATAATATTTATATATTTTTTTTTATTCTATTCAATTTAAAAAAAAATTTACAATTGTCCAATATAACATGGTGGTTGTAAATCTACAGTAAACAAATTGCACAATTCCCATTTTGCACTATTAACTCTTTTTGGATGTGTACAATTTGCAATTTAAATAATAGAATCATCATTAATTCTATCATCACATCATTTGTAGTTGTTTCATTTTCTTCATATTCACAAAGGGCTATACCTTCGGTTTCTAACATTATTTTCCATAAAGATAAACCTTCATGATCAAATTCACCATAATTGTGACTTTTCATTAAATTCAATCAGATCAGTTTGATCATCCTGGTTCAAATTTTGTGCAGAATTAGAATGATACATATTTTTAATCAATTCAAGATCTTGTTTCTATGAGGTTGCTTGATAATTCCTTGAATCTGTGCCATTTTAATTACCATTTATACTACATTAAAAAAAAATTAATTAAAATGAAGAACATCTCAATGTAGTGTCAAAAAAAATCACATTAAGTCTATTTTATGTGAAGAATGTAAAAATCCTGCAGATGACCATAAATTTCAATTGACACAAAGTTTATGCACATACTGAAAATTCTTTTAGCTACATAACCCAACTCAGTTGTTTTCTTTCCACACCCCCAATAATTCAATATGCCACCATTCCATTGAATTCCAAGTGATTTCATTGAACGGATATTGTTTATTTTGATACATATTAAACTCACAAAGTATTTTCACTGGCTGGCTTTGATTCCATGCACAATATATATTTTGTCAATTGATGTTTACCCATTTTTAATAAAACAATAATGGAATACATCAGGAAATTTTCCCTGCTGTAAGATTACATCCATAAATTTAATATGTAAAGTTGCAATATTTGCATAAAAATTATATGGGGCATGCTGCAACAAAACCAGACAAAGTGAACATTGGTATTACCAAGGATTTCAGGGATCAATATCGTTTTTTAACATCACAATTATATTATCATGTAATGTGATCATGAT